ATGACGCGGCATCATGAACCAACGCTGCGGCGATTGGATGAGGCCGCCGCCATACCTGAAGCTGCCATGAAGTTGCGGTGGAGCTTGAAAGTGACCAGCGGTTCTTTCAGCTTCCTCAGGAAGTCTTTGAGGACGCCGCAAACCACGTGGATGTCCGAAACGTCACTCAGTTGGAGCTGCGTTTTACCACCCATGAAGCGATCGCGCAACTCTTTGACTTGACGCTCGCCGCCAGGTACTCTGTAGAGGCCTCGCTGAAAGCAGAAATAAGAGTCTGGACTGACTGGAGTCCAACAGACTAACAGCGCCGAGCTCACCTCCTGTAAGCCTCTCTTTTCGATCTCTTTCACGCACTCGACGACGAGCGCAGGAATCCTGGGATGGCTCGCGGGAGCAAAACCCTCCAGTGAGACCTGATGAGCAGACAGATGAACGCAACTGCTGCCATTCCCCAATTTGCGGCAAAACCTTTGAAAGATTCCAACCATGTGCGCTGCAGTTGTAGATGCGCTGGGGGCACAAGTCTCGCTACATTTCTGTTTGCATTCTGGATGAGAAACAATACGACAGCCTCTGCACTTGAGTGCCATCTTGCCAAAGCGGATCCTCTTGCCGCAAGGCAAACACATCTCAGGCCGGATCACCTGGCGGAGGAGGGCGAGAGGCAGGTTGTGAAGGTGGAGCAAGTTGAACTTTTTAAATAGGAAACCAGAGGAGTCTCGCACCGTTTTAGAGAGAAAGTCGTGCTTGGGACATGTTTCCATCTGCACTTGAGCTGCATTGGGATCACTCGGAAACCCGACAGACGTTTGATCTGCACAATGACAACCAATGATGAAAACAATGAAGTGGACCCGATTCATGGCCTTCCACAGCCAAGGGGTCATCGTGCAAGGTCATGAAACTTTCTGCCCACCAACCTCTGCCACTGTCAGGAAGAGCAGATTCCAGTGTGGGCTCTTCAGGTCTCTCCTGGGTGATTTTGGCCACCGTGTGAACAGGACCCCCAGTTTCGGGGGTCATCACTAATTCCTGCACGATGGTCTCCACCTCCTGAGATGAAAACAAGTCAAAACCTTCCCATTCAGATTCTGACAACTCGAGACCGTCCGAAGCTTCTCAGTCATTGGAAAGACTGATGAGGTTTTTTTTTCACATATCGCAGAATGCGCTTTAAAATTTCTCACCTTCTCCACAGTTTTCTGCTCCAGCATCTCAGGAGAAACATTCCCACTTTGCCCTGGCTTTCCGAGCGCAGCAGAAATCGTCACACCCATCGACGAACGCTACAGAACCAGCAGAATATCAACTTTGGAAGCACAAGAATGTCCACACGCTAGCGCCCGAGGCGCAGTGATTCCCAACGGCTATGCCACAGGAAATGATTTCACTTCAGTGTGGGAGAAAATTATTTTATGGGCTACAATGATTTGCTCATCTGTCTACGCAAGCCATGGCGGATTGTGCCCCGAAGTAACTTTGTGGTCAATTACAAAGGTCCAAATTTCAAATGCTTCAGCATTTGGCATTTTAGGCTTTGCACTTTATTAGCATACCATTCCCTTGCCCAGTGATACTCTGGTAGCAGCGCTGCAAAATTGCTGCACTGCAGTCGGGAACAGGAAACAAACATCTTAGCCAGGCAGAAAAATCAGTCAATTGGCGAGCCATGGGCAAGGGAAGAGCGCAAAGCCAAGGAGGTGTCAAATTCTGCAGACATCACAACTGTGCAAATGACACGTGAGACACATAGGAAAAACGGAAGCCAAGAGTGACTTGTGGGACACCCATATAACATCTGTGTTGGGGTGTGTGCCGTGAGCTTTTTCTAATGCAGAAAAAAAAGTGTCTTGAATCATAAGGTTCAGAAAAACCTTACCCTCCTCTCTCGTGCTCGAGACCTCAGAGGTTTCAGCAACGTTGTGTCCAGGTCCTGAAAGCAACCAAAGCTCAAAGTGAACAACCTTCACTTCTCTCTGGGGAACAATGACCTCACCATGTCATCATCTGTCCGATCGTAGCTGATGTCCGAGTGTGAGAAGAAGGACGATTCGTCGATGGCAGACAACCTGAAGCACGGACAGTTCGGTTGATGCAACGGCCGGAGGCTGGGAACGACGCTCGTCCTTTCTGCTGACTTTTACCGTTTGCTGCTGCGGTGCAAAGTCTTATTTGCACCTTTGTGATCAAACGTGGCCAAAAGGGATTTCTGCTCCTCGTTCAAACATGCGCTGGATTTGCTGTCCTGAACCAAGACGTCGCACATGAGCTGCATCTGCCTTTGCTGTCCACAAAAAATACAGGACGGCTGTGAAGCTAGCATTCCAGCTGCTGGAGACGGCTCGCCGTGGCTGTGTTGCGGACTCACCAGATACTGATAATCGCCTTCCATCTTGTAACGTTTCCTCATCTCCACATCAAGCTGGTTGCGGGCATGCTTGAGTTTGACCTCCAAAGCAGCTTTGGCCACGTCCGACTTAACCAGGAGCTCCTTGTACTTCTTCAGCTCCATCTCTGCGTGCAGCCATTGCTTTCTGACGGTCTCAAAGTTTTTCACCACCTCAATGAACTCTGGGAACCAACAAAGGATCAGCGTCACCATCACGGAAGCCGTTTTTGTTTGTTTGATGTGGTCATTTTCAGTCTCACCAAGTTCAGTATTCATTGCCTTTTCCTCCATTGTAATTCGTTTGATGCAGAAAGCCAGCAGCTCCTCCATGATAAATTGAGACTCTCCCATCCCTCTGCAACATGGCGCACACTCTTTTTGTCAAGGTGCTGTCCTTCTTTTTTTTTGCACCTTTTTCTTCCTGAGCTGGTTCAGGATGCATGGTTTAAATTTAGGGGGAGAAAACCTGTTCTTTTTTGGGAGGTGAAATCTTTTGAACTTTTGTGTTTTTTTTAATTCATGTTCAAATGAAGGAAATGAAATTATTTTCATTTTAACATCAGTTGTGTTCCGTTCTACGTTTGCAGACTCATCAACACGTATCAAATAAAGTGGTACACATGACAAAGGTACACAGGCCAAAAATGCATGGCAACCACTCCTCTGGAGGGCAGGCAGAGCGAACATGTTGGGTGCAAAGAAAGAAACGCGATGGGTCAATAACGTCACACAAACTGTACGGAAAAATAGTGAAGGAAAATGTGAAGAACCAAGCTTAAAACAGTCATCCTTTTGCTTGAAAAATGAAGTGCTCACCGTGTCTTCATGGGGAACAAACTAAGAGCCTCCGCTCAACTTTTGCAGAACACACGATCGTTGATACTTGCTTGCGTCATTTGAACGAAACGCTGCACCTCCACTTGACGATGAGAACTGTTGCAAGACAAACAAAATTCTCAGAAACAACTCACATTTTGCAGGCGAAGGAAGTGAAGCGGGTTTTGGTTCGCACGCGGCTTTCCCGGTGCGAACTCGCTGTCACGTCGCCGTGGCAGTGACGTAATTTACGCAGGTGGACCAAGTTGACATTTATTTAGCGAGTAATTTGAAAAAGCTCACCGTCTATCTTTTGAAAAGCAAAACAACTAAGAGTCATGCATTTGATAAAACGTGGAATCGATGTTTTGACTGGCAAATACGTTCGAACGCACTTGTAGACTAAATGCTACAAACAGCATTTTCCCATCATGCAATAAGGTTTTGACCTGCGCGTTTGTGAGTAAAAATAAATAAATACCCGCCACAGTTCCTCCTTGTAGGTTCTCAGTAAAAACTACACAAAAACTTGTCTTCGACGCCCGTCACGAGTGGGCCTAAAAAACATGCACAATACAAAATACAAAATGACTATTCTGCAATGGCGGCGAATGTCCACTTGGAGGAGCCATTTGTCAGGATGATTACGTCGAGGCACACGTCACATCTGAGGATGCTGGGACTCGGAACTTGACGACGACGACGAGGAGGAGGAGGTGGTGGAGGAAGAGGGAGGGAAAGATGACAGCAGCCGCAGAAGAGTACCGACTCCCAAACACGCACAAGCCATCAGCTGATAGCTAACTGCTACGTGCACGCACACGCTCATTTGTACGTACTGCTGGAAGGTGGCTCTTAAGTACAGTAGGTGACAAATCATATGCACAGCAGCTTTGTACGAATTGCTGCCGACCGCCTTGACGGAAGGAAGCTAACACGCACGCGCGCGCGCACACACACGATGCACTGTCCCAGGTTTCCTCTTGGACGATGAGTAATGCGAACGTGTGTTTGTGTATGCGTGCGCGCGCACGCATGTGCCCGTATGCGCGTTCACCTGTGTGCAATTGAATGTCATGTCATCTGTAGCATGTTGATGGAGTTACCATAGAAACACTTGTACCAAATCTTCTGGACTTATTGGTTGTTTTACTGTAAACGGAAGCTAAACCCCAACATGTTTAAAGCAACAACACAATATATGTTTCTTCATAATATACCGTTCCACCAAAATGGTGCCATTTACATCCGTCCCCAGGCAACTATATGAAAATACATCTTTGAGATGCTGAAATTTGTTCAGAGACCGCAAAACCAGCCACAACTTTAACAAGTGCTGCACATCAATAGTCAATTAAAATAGAACAAAAAGCCTTTTATTGTTACTGTATGGTCCAAATGCAAGGTTCTGAAAACATAAAAAGACAACAAAAAATGAAGTGATAATAACAAGCACATAGGCTACCTGCAGTTGAGCCTGAGTCCAGTTCCATGCCAGCGGAAAGAAGCTTCACGCAGATGCACCTTACACTCGTCATCTTGCTCAAGATGTTGAATCTTCCAACATTGTATTGCGTGTTTGCGGTCTCCAGGTACAAATGTGATCTCTGACTTACAACGAGCAAAACTCCAGTAAGAGATGTCCAAACGAGTTCCAGGAGGGCGGGCCAAAGGTCAGGCGGCAGACGCCATGGGCACCGTGCAAACTGTCGATGACGAGCTGAGAGCCAAACTGATCGGCGTCCAGTTAGAACTTCAGCATGAGAAGAGCAAGGTGGAGTCCTCAACAGACACGGCGTGTGTGCGTGTCAAGTCGTCCTTGATGTAGATGAGACGTGTCTGTGATGTCAGGTTAGCCGTCTGGAGAGGGAGAGGAGTCAGGAACTGCAGGAGGAGCACCACCGCGCCACCGTCGCCATGACGGAACTCAAAAGCAAACTCCACGAGGAGAAGCAGAAAGAGTTAGCCGTCACCAGGGAGTCGTTGCTACGGCAGCATGAGATGGAGCTGATGAGAGTGATCAAAATCAAGGATGGGGAAATCCAACGGCTGAACGGTTTGGTCCTAACCCTGAGGGACAGCTCCATGGATAAGGTTTGTACTCGTCGCCAGTAACGGACATACTAGGAGCATCACTGTCATCTGCGGTCTGATCCAGTGTGCCTTGTTGACGTTCATCAGGTGAGGAGCGCTTTGCTGGCAGAGGTGGAGGAGACACGGAAGACTTGGGAGACCGAGCGATCTCGCCTCCAGCAGGAGCTTCAGGAGCAACGTGGAGCAAAGAGGAGCGCAGAAGAAGCTCTGGCAGTGGCCCACCAGGCCTGCCAATCCCGAGTAGCCGAGCTCCGATCCGCTCATCACCAGCACCAGGAGGAACTGAGCAGAACCAAGCGAGACTGCGAAAGGGAGATCCGTCGACTGGTAGGCCTGATTTCCACATCGGACGTGTCGTGTCCATCTGAGGGCTACGCCTGGCGGGGCTGCGTCTTGCTTTTAGGATATTCCAACTCTTTTGTTTGCTTTTGCCACAATGCTGGCAAAAAAAAAACTCAGTGTGCCCGACGAAGCGCAACTTGTTTGTATGTCCAGATGGACGAGATCAAACTGAAGGACAGAGCGGTTAGTGTTTTGGATAAAGCCCTGGGGCTGCAGGCTGGCCACGCCCACCGTCTTCAGCTGCAGACTCAGGCTGCCGAGCAGCAAATCGCAGCCCTGAGGGATGCCCAAAGGGCGGGTCTTAACTACCCTGGAAATGTTGGTAACACCACCACTAACAATCCTCTTCTTATCATAAACCCCACCTCCGCTTGTGCCCGCCGGTCTCACCAAAACTGTGTGATCACGACCTCATCCCGCATCTCCAGCATGCACATTCAGTCGCGTCAGGATCAAAAACAATCATTGTTGTCCCGCAATTCTGTGCCGTCGTCATCGCTCACTGCGATAATTTCCTCCGAAAAAAATGAAGGGGCATTTGTCTGCATGTGTGCGTTAAAGTCTCAGGAGGACCGAGACACGCGAAGGTTTCAACTGAAAATCGCTGAGCTCAGCGCAGTCATCAGGAAGCTGGAGGATCGAAACGCCCTGCTGTCTGAAGAACGCAACGAACTGGTAATTTATTAGCGACATTTATTCTGCATGGACAAAAGTTTCTGGTGGAGCCATACTGAAGGCTAATTTAGCACAAAAACGTAAGCTACATATTGAGTGAGCAACCTTCGGGGGGGGGGGTACACGAAGAGTAAAATTTCTTCAGTCCGTGGACATGGACCGGTTAATTTTGGTCGTAGCCTGATTTGTTTGTGAACAGCTTTGTTGGTGAACCGATGGTCCCGCTGCTTGTACGGTGTTCTGCGTCTTTCACATCCTGTGCGTTGTGTTTCCTGTTCGGTGGGACGTGCAGCTGAAGCGTCTGAGAGAAACAGAGAGTCAGTTTCTTCCTCTTCTGGACAAAAACAAACGTCTGAGCAGGAAGAACGAGGAGCTGTCACTCATGCTGTGTCGCCTTGAAAACAAACTGCGCTTCGTCACGCAGGAGAACATGGAGATGGCAACCATGGTAACTCTTGAGCCGTCCTGTAACGTGAAAAGCTGACATCTGATCACAGAAAAGTTGCGTTTGTCGCCATCCACAGAGAAGGCCAAGTTCGCTCAACGACCTGGACCGCAGCAACTCTGGTGGTTACCATGGTTACAGCCAGGAGGACAGTGAAATGGAGTTTCTGCGGCTTCAAGTTCTGGAGCAGCAGCACATCATAGATGACTTGTCCAAGGTTCTTCTACGACTTGATATAAAGCACCACAATTATTGACACATTGGCGCTGTCTGGCTATAAACTTTTGATAACCCAATTTCGGAAAATATGCCGTTTTTTTTTTTTTTTTTTAAATGGTTGGAACCGCAACGACAGTGACACTAACATCTTACTGGCGCGCGACTTTCCCTGATGAATATTGTAAAATATTCGCCACCGACACTTTCACAGTATATCCAAATGTTTTTCAGGCTCTGGAAACGGGAGGTTACGTCAAAAATGTCATTGTGAGTTCTGTTGCGTCGCAACAATGTTGACACAGAAACATGCGAACAATCTCCAACCGCAAGTATTTCTGTCAACAGGAAAGAGATTTATTATTACGATACAGACGCCAAGAATCACTTAGGAGGAAACGAACGGTGAAGTCCTGCAGGGTGAGTCAACTTTCTGCTTGTTGAGTTGTTGGGTCGCAATTTCATTTTGTTCGCCGCGCGCGAGACAACAGATGACGAGAGATTTTCGCCCGTGCACGTCTGCAGGTCATAGAAACGTTTTATGGCTACGACGAGGACGTGTCGGTGGACTCCGATGGATCGTCCTTGTCTTTTCACACTGACAAAACCCCTGACACGGAACCCGAAGAGGTACCCGCTTGTATATTACGTTTTTACAATGGCAGATAATGGAGCTTTGTCGTGAAATGTTCCTCTTCAGCCACGCGTTAAGTCTCGTGTTTCAGCCGCGTTGACAAGTCAGCGTTTTGTGTTAGAAGTGGTTCATTACCGGTCGGACTGATTCTGGCAGTAGTGTCGTGTCGCAGGTGTGTGTTCGTGAGGAGGCGGAGCTTCGATACCGCCAGTTGACGCAGGAATATCAAGCGCTGCAGCGAGCCTACGCTCTGCTAACGGAGACGAGCGGAGGAAACTATGACGCCGAGAAGGAGATTAAGGTGATGTCGCCCTTTCTTGCTACCTCCAGGTTACAGCTTCCTTTTTTTTTTTCCCCCATAGAAAGCTCAATACTAATTCCTCCTTTTCAGACCAGAGAACAACTAATGGCTGAAATCAGCCAATATCAAACCAGAGTCACTGATCTGGAGTCGGCGCTGAAACAACAAGGGCTGGTACGCTCGCATGCCCAGTCGTGCTCTGTGGGATCGTGCGTTTCACTTTGTACCAGTAGGATTATTTACGATGACCATCATCTTCTAGGATGTGGCGTGGGTGGAGGAGAAGCAGTTGTTGTATCAGAGGAACCAGCAGTTGGTAGAAAAGGTGACCCAGGGGGGAGAAAAATAAAATAAAATGCATCACAAAATCCCTGCCAGCTCCCGAAGACGATGTCGTCCATTTTTCAGGTGAGGGAGATGGAAGCGGAAGAAGTGCTTCTGAAAAACGACATCCAGGACATCAGGGACCAAAACGAACTCCTTGAGTTCCGAATTTTAGAGCTGGAGGTGATAAATAAAGACTCGAACAACAAGCTTGACACTTGATGACGTGTGACAAATGCTCCTTTGTGTTCAGGAGAGGGAGTGGCGCTCCCCTGTCATGAAATTTCACCAAGTCCATTTCCCAGACTGCCTCAGTCCATTGCAGATCTACTGCGAGGCGGAGGGCGTGGCGGTACGTAAACGCATCCCCTCCCACTGCTTTTTCCACACAAGAGCTGCAGTCAGCTTGTCCGTTTCTCCAGGACATCGTGATCAGTGATCTGATGAAGAAGTTGGACATCCTCGGCGATAACGCCGTAAGTGTATGTTGAAACTTATTCCGTATCCGCTGAACCAATTCCGTCCTCCACTCTGTGTGGACTCGTTTTGCTCAACACGTGACTTTTGTCAGGCTTGTGGGTATAAACTGACAGAGGCTTGTGCATGCCTGCTCACACGCAGAATCTCACCAATGAGGAGCAGGTGGTTGTGATTCACGCCAGGACTGTTCTCACCCTGGCTGAGAAGGTAACGTGCGCGCGCACGCACGCTCTGATCGGGTGATAGCGGCCGGCTAATGCTATCCCTTTGTCAGTGGTTGGAATCCATTGAGGTGACCAAGTCGGCGCTTCAGCAGAAGATGCTGGACATCGAAAGCGAGAAGGTAAGACATCAGCCAAGAGAAACCGCAGCGATGACCTTGAACCATGTGCGTGCTTCCGTGCGCACGGGTAGGATTTGTTCTGCAAGCAGAAGGGCTACCTGGACGAAGAGCTGGACTTCAGAAAGCGTTCCATGGATCAGGCTCACAAGGTAAGCAAGCCGCCCTCAAATCTTCCGGATGGACCGCTGACGGACGAAGATTGTCGCGCAGAGAATCCTGGAGCTGGAGGCCATGCTGTACGAGGCACTGACACAGAAGGAACAGTCCAGAACGGACGGAGAAAAGGTGAGCGACGGTCTTGTGAACGACGTGCTGACGGACGACCAGAGGGAGGGGCTGAGGAGCGCCATGGACCAATGGAAACGAGCCGTGATGTGCGAGTTGAGGGAGCGAGACGCTCAGATCCTCAAAGAGAGGATGGATCTGCTGCAAGTCACGCAACAGGTAAGAGGCGGAAACGACAGGGCGCTCCGCAGATCCTCGCTGTGCTTAGTCATCAACTTTCCATGTGTCTGTCGTAGCGGAACAAAGAATTGGACCAGATCATCGAAGCTCAGAAGCGACAAATCAAAGAATTGGAGGAGAAGTTTCTCTTTCTCTTTTTATTCTTCTCGTTGGCCTTCATTCTGTGGTCCTAACGTCCTCTGGTGAGTTCAAGTTGCATCAAATAAGCCAAGTTGACATTTGAACAGGGAACATTTGCTCTCGTTGCGTTGCTCCATTTGCTTTTTCTTGTCTGATGTGCAGTTTGTCAACTTTCTTGAAATTGAATTTTGGTCAGAGAGAAGACGTCTTCACAGCCGATGACAACTTTGGTCCGCGGGGGGTGATTGAGAGTGTCGTCAACCGGTGTCTTGCTCGAGGACACCGCAGCCGTTGGTCCGGGGAATGTTGGGGATGGATGGTCCATTTCCGCATCCTCCTTTGCTCTTGAGGAAGCTGACATTTCTTTTTTTTGCCCACACACTCCTCTGCCAGTCGACAAATCGAACCACCGGGGCAGGAACAAACAAACAAACGTGTATGCAACCAACTTAAGCGGTGAAAACATTCGGCTTTGGGTCTGGCTTTTGCCTTTTAGTATCTGGCGCCCTGTAACTGAACACTCAGTCACCCCGAGACCAGCTGACCTCAACGTCCCACAACACCTGCGTGCTGATTTCCACAGCAGGTGATGAAGGTTTCTACTGCCTTTTGTCTCAGATGTCAAAAAGAACTATTTTACCCATCTGCAGAAATATGTTGTGGACATTGTTTTAAAAGGTGCAAAATAAAGCGTGCGAGAACAGCACTCGCGAAATCTGTTTTTTTCCCTTTCTTCTAAACGTCTGCCGAGTTGAACATATTTGGAGGTTAAAATACAATGGATACTTTTTTAACAGTATTGTAGTTCTGTAAAGCGTTCCAATGAAAAGGTACCGTGGATGCGTATGGACGGCGTGGATTTGACAGGCATAGAAATCCAGTTCAGAACTTGTCCTGTTCAGAACGTCAGCATTAATGAGCGCTGATGTGAGTGCAGTGGAGCCGCAAAGTCACATGACGTCACTTCTTTGTCTCCAGACACTTTGGTTTTCTTCGTGAGGTCATGTGACAGGCGTGCTGTCATCTAGTAAAACGCGTGAGGTTAAGTGTAGTCATTTCGGGTTTAATAAATGTTTACATTTTTTGGGGGTGTCTTCCTGTGCTACTATTTTAGGGAATAGAATCAATACGAGTTCGGCACGATGATGTCTCAATCGCGTATTCAGCAATGAACTCAGCTGAGTGAAATGGCCTCGATCGGTGGCTTTTTTTTCCCCTTGACTGCTCTGCCTCCTCCCTTCGCGTTGGTTTTAGGTCAAGTGTCCCCACCACTCACCTCACTTCTCGCCTTGCAGCGGTCGTCTCGTCGTCTCGCTTTTCAGTCGCATCTCTTCTTAGTGGCGGCGAGATGTCTGAAAGAAGAATCTCCCAGGACGATGACAGCGCCTCACTGCTGTCCAAGCTGGGCTCAGACTCTCCTCGGCCTAGGATGAAATATGGAGGAATGTTCTGCAGTGTGGAAGGAGCTTTTGAAAACAAAACGCTCAACTTTGAGTTGTTCAGCCCGCAGACGCCGCGACGCCGAACGGCTCGCGCCGCAGAAGACCCACCCAAGGGAGGCTTTGCGGTGTTCCCCTCTGGACGTGTCCAGGTACGAGGAAAGGCTTGGATGTCAAACGAGACGATAAAATTGTTCACAAGGCAACAAAATCAATTGGAATGCGAAAAACATCACTTTTCTGTCAATCAATGAAACAAGCGGACAGGGTGATTCTTGGGTTTGATGTTGTGACATCAATTTCAGTGTAAATATTCTGTGAAGTCAAAACTTGATTGACTTGAATTTCATGGGGGTGTTCCAATTCGGACGGTAACGTTTGGAGACGATATTGAGTGTGTATGCCCATTTATCTGCACGTACATTTATCGCGCACTAAACCAATACATTTTCTTGTCGTCTGTTTCCAGGACAATTGCCTGATCATCAAAGGAGGAAAGATCGTCAATGATGACCATTCGTTTCATGCTGATGTTTACATCGAGGATGGAACGATCAAGTAGCTTGCCTTTATTTCAACATCTCAATGATCAACTCAAATTTTTTTTTTTTTTTTTTTAAACATCGCAGTCAAAATGTGTGATTTGTCCTGGTGTTGCGTGTTAACTTGCACGTTCTCCCATTCAGTGGTGATGAAATGATCCAATTTATTGTGTTTGAGAGGACACATTTGAAAGAGTACCTGTACACTGGTTCATGGTCGTCTTGACAGCAGCCGATCAAGAATCGGGGTCGTTTTCTGTGTCGCGCTCCTCCAGCATGTCAACTGCAGGCACGACTTGTCCGGGTGATGTGCGCTCATTTTCCCCACACAGACAAATTGGGGAGAATTTGATGGTCCCTGTAGGTGTCAGGACAGTGGAGGCCTGCGGTCACTTGGTCATCCCCGGAGGCATCGACGCCAACACCAACCTGCGCGCCTCCCAGAATGGCCTGAACCCTTCAGATGACTTCTATCAGGGGACCCGAGCAGCTCTGGCCGGTGGAACCACCATGATCAGTCAGCAAACGCCTCCGTCATTCGCACGCTTTCCCAACCGGTGGCCGCACTTCCACTCGCTTTTCTCTTAACAGTTGACCACGTGCTGGCCGAGCCGGGGACGAGCCTGCTGTTGGCGTTTGAGGAATGGCTGGACATGGCCCGCCAAAGGGCCTGCTGTGACTTTTCCTTCCACGTGGACGTCACGCGCTGGCATGATGGAGTTGGCGACGATCTGGAGATTCTTGTCAAGGATAGAGGTTGTTCTGATGGGAGGAAAAAAAAGGCACACAGTTTACCATCGTGCTGCATATGCGTTGCAGTGTGTGTAAGAGTAGGTTGTGGCCTGCTTTCAAAGCATGAATGCGATATTTACTTAAGGGTGGGAATGCTCAAGTTGTCAGTCCTGTGATTGGCAAACGATCATTTCAGGTCGGTATGCAGGTAGTGACTGATGAGAATATTTGCCTTGCAGGTGTGAACTCTTTCCTGTTTTTTATGACTTACAAGGACAGATATCAGAGTACTGATTCACAGGTACAACAGCCTCCATTTTTTTTATTGTAGGTGTGCAGCATGTGCCATTGTTATAACAACAATACTGATGTAACTCAGTGGTGCGCGTTGGACTAACTCTGCGTCCTGTTGTTTTTTTTGTTTTTTTTTTTACTCACAGCTTTATGAGGCTTTTGGTGTCCTGAGGGATTTGGGAGCAGTCGCCTTGGTCCATGCTGAGAATGGTGACATCATCGCTCAGGTAACTTGAAATAAGCTTTCCGGAACAGGTATCTTTGAAAAAGAGTTGTGTTATATTTCAGAGGCAAAAGACGGTTCTCAGTCTTGGCATCACCGGACCGGAAGGACATGTCTTCGCTCACCCTGAAGAGGTCCATTTTCATTTTTCTCGAGACAGCCAAAACAGCTCAAAAGAAAACGATCCGACGTCAACTTCTGTTTAAAGGCGCAGGCCGAGGCAGTCCACCGAGCCGTCACCATTGCAAAACAAGCAAACTGTCCACTTTATGTGACGAAGGTGATGAGCAAATCTGCCGCTGATGTGATCGCCAAGGCCAGGAAGAAAGGTGACCTGGGTTTCCTCCTTCCAAATTTGGACTGACTCACAAAAGAGTTGACAGGATTCATAAAACCTGTTGTATAAAAAGAAAAAACATTAATACTTGTCTTTGGTAAACAGCAGGCTGCACAACAAGGAGAGAAATGGAGACAGACCTTCTTAGTTGAGAAGAGAATCCGAAGGCTCTTTGGACCACTTGTGTACTTGACGATGGGCCAGCTCAGTCACATGGCTCCGGTGAATTAATCCCATTTGTCTTTGGGCAGGGATCGTGGTCTACGGGGAGCCGATCACGGCCAGTTTGGCAGTGGACGGCTCTCAGTATTGGTCCAAAGATTGGGCTACGGCGGCGGCCCTCGTTATGAGCCCACCCCTCAATCCCGATCCTTCAACTCCACACTACCTAAGTTCTCTCTTGGCGTGGTTAGTGTTGTTTGGATGACCACACTTTTCTTGCCGTGGTTAGTCAAGTGTATGTTTTTCAACATTTTTTGGTAGCGGTGACCTACAGGTGACTTCCAGTGCTCAAGCTAGCTTCTGCACAGCACAGAAAGCCGTGGGAAAAGATGACTTTACTCTCATACCAGAGGGAACCAATGGAATTGAGGAGAGGATGTCTGTGGTCTGGGACAGAATCGTGGTACGTGATACTTGGGCCAACTTGATCAAACTTTTTTTTTTTTTTTTTTTTTTTTTTGTCTATTTGGAGCAAAAATGTTTCATGAAATGTGTTGTCAATACATTTGTTGTTGTAGTGTACGGGTATGATTGACGAGAATGAGTTCGTAGCGCTGACAAGTACCAATGCTGCAAAGCTCTTCAACCTTTACCCTCGCAAAGGTAACGCCTTTGTAATCAAGTTTAACCTGTAAAAAAAACAAACAAACATTCTGTTAATGTTCTGGGTGCAATTTTGAAGAGTCTTGTTCTGTATGTACAAACAGGACGAATCGCTGTTGGTTCTGATGCTGACATTGTGGTTTGGAACCCAAAAGACACCAAAACTGTCTCTGCCAAAACACACAACTTGGTAACAAATTTTGTCTCATCATAAGTCAGGTAGTTTAGTTCCATCTAAAAGCCAACTAAATTCTGCTTCCGGCAGACAGTCGAAGTAAACATCCTTGAGGGTTTGGAGTTTCGAGGCGTTGCCTCGGTGGTGATCGCAGGTGGCCGAGTTGTTGTGGAAGATGGAAAACTCACTGTAACGGAAGGTTCCGCACGCTTCATTCCAAGGAAAGCGTTCCCTGATCAAGCATACCGCAGGATCAGAGCTCGCAGCAAGGTAACCCGACCCTGCAAGAGGAGCAACGCCACAAATGATCACTTTTGTTATATTCTAATTTATTAACCAACAGGCAAACAAACATATTGACTTGTGGTCGATTTATTTTTTCCTTAGGTAGCTGAGAATCGAGGTGTACCTCGTGGCATATACGATGGACCAGTCCACGATGTCATGACGACGAACAAATTGATGACGCCCACATGGACTAAGAAAGCAACTCCTTGTCTTCAAATCCAAACTGGGCCCCGAAATCTCCACCAATCAGGCTTCACCTTGGCCGGTAAAACAACAATTTGCTCTCACTTAACTATTAAGAAAAGTAGCTGTTTCTCTTCAAACTTTGGATTTGTGGACATCATCAGAGAGTGTTTTGTTACTCACAGGAACTCAGATCGATGACCACGTTCCTCGGCGGCCGGCTCAGAAGATTGTGGCACCACCTGGCGGACGATCAAACATTACTTCACTTTCGTAAAAACGCATTTAATGAACAGCAGTCTGGCTCCAAGTGGACAAGCATGCAGACAGTCGACAATTCCAAACAAGTGACGTTTTAACTAGCGATGAATTCTTACTCCCTTCACAATCCCCTTATCATCATTGGATGCCATCATTGTACCTAGTTGCTCCTCAGTTGTTTTATACTTAAGGCACCTAACTCTCAATTGTAGTAAACCAGTAGCAATAAAAATCCTGAGCATGAAAGCGATTTTTTCTTCTTCTACGCTGTTAAAGAAATTCTGTAATCCGTTTTTTCAGTTGGTTAGTGGGGTGATTATTTATTTGGATAAATGGGTGGACAGATAATTCAATAAATAAACACCCTCTAAGATGGACCCTCCGTTAAAATGCATCGTGAGAATGCAATAGCACGGCTTGTCCAGTGGAGGGAGCCAAATCCCGAACGCTGGAGCATGGAGCTGCAATGGCGCGGCGTCTCCACCGGAGGGCGCCGAATCCCTAGTTAGGGTAGTTCGGGTCAGTGGTTTGTTTGTATGCTCTGCGTTATCCCTGTGTTGAAATTTTAAAACGAAAATTAATTTCATCTATTCTGGAATAATGTTGTAACATTACAGAGTGTAGGGAAAGAGTAAAGCGCTGTTAATACTTATTTTAAGGCCGGATTCAGGGTTTCGCTGTTATGACGGCTGACCTTTCACTTAGTGTTGAAGAGGCCACAGGACGCAGCGCCCTCCTTGTTGGATGTCCTGCATTCTCCTCTTTTCTCCTGTCAATGTTGAACTTGGGGCTCATTGACCTTTGCAGGAGTGGATTCAGGTGACCCGGTGATTTAGCTTGAGGAGCCGCTTGACTTTAAGAGTCTGTCCGGTTTCATAGTGGAGCATGTTGATAGACCTTAACTTGGACACTTCATTCAGGTCATCGTTGCACAGCCAGGCACACATTGGACATTAGAAAAATTGCAAAACACAGCACCAAACATTTTCCTATCCCCGTTATTCACAAATCAAGTTGCATTTGCTCTGTTATGCTTAGGCCTAAGCAGTGTTTAATATAAAAATATTGCTTTCGCGCAATCTGGCGGCATGTTATGGCACCAAGCATCTATGACAAAGTGGGTGGAGGAGCTTCATTTATTTAGGCATAATTTTATCTCACCGACAAAGCAGTTTGACAGTAAATTTATAAATTCCATGTTAAGGCAAAATTATACATGAAACATTAAAATTAGCACTCAGACTGTGCAGTTTCCTCATTGAAAATACATTTATCTAGATTTATTTTAACTGGTTTTATTTCAAGAAACGAGTGGACCATGCAATGTTATTTTCAGTGAACCCACAACAGACAGAATTGTCTTTATAAAATCAGTTACCCTTTAAAAGACTGTAACCCCCCCCCCC